TTATGGATTTCTGTGTCTTCAGGGTTGGTTTCTGGGTGCTTGTCATTTTCCTTCTGGTCTGGTGATTTCATATATTTTTGCATTGTGGTTCCTGTGTTGGTTTTGTTTTTCCTCATCCTGGAAATCTCTGGTTGCAATTTACACCCCCCAGCACTGTGTGGTGGTAAAGGGCTGTGTAGTCTAAGCCCCCTGCACTCTGCCGCGGTTTTTCTGCCGCCGTTTTTCTGCTGCGATCTGCGGGTCAGATCACTTGGTCCGGTCTGCCGCGGATGGCTTGGTCTGGTCGGGTTGGCCAGCTGGAGGGTCCAGTTTGTGGGGGGGGGGGCTCTCTCTTTTGCCCTCTGGGTCCCTGGCATGGGGGGCTTCTCCTTCGCCCCTCGTTATCCGCTTTCTGGGGTGCTCAGATGTTGATGGTAGCCGTGTGGCTCTTCTGAGTCCTCTGTGTGGGAGTTTCCCACTGGCTGAGAGAGCCCGAAGAGCTACAGTTTCCCCGCCGAGGGCCGCCCCTCCCCCCCTCTGGGAGCTGCGCGGACCGGGATCGCTGATCTGATGGGGAGGGAGAGGAGTTCTCCTTACCTCTCCCCACTTCCTCCGGGGGCCCAGCACATTCCACTCTCAGATGTGCAGCAGTGTGGATCTTTCCGATCTAGCTTTTCACTGTCTGGGATTCCGTTGTTGGTCTGTGACTGTTCCTTTTGTTGTATCTTATCGGGGGAAGAGTTCACGGGAAAGCTCACTCCGCCATGACGCTGACGTCACACCCCTCCTCTTTTTTTTTTTGCTGAGGAAGACTGGCCCTGGGCTAACATCCGTGCCCATCTTTTCCTCCACTTTATGTGGGATGCCGCCACAGCGTGGCTTGCCGAGCGGTGCGTCAGTGCCCGCCTGGGATCTGAACCAGCAAACCCTGGGCCGCTGCAGCGGAGTGCGTGCACTTAACCGCTTGCGCCACCAGGCCGGCCCCTTAACAAAATTCTTGAACACCACATGTTCACAAAATCTCATGGCCTAAATGTGAAAAAAAATTATCTGAAGTTCAGTTTCTTGGATGCTTAGATATCTTACTTATGACTCCTTATAAGATAGTCATAAAATTGAAACAAAAACTCAATGAAAAGCTAAAGGCAATTGTGCTTTTCCATAAAGTTCTGAAAATCAATTAGTAGTACTAGAGGCAAACCAAAGGTCAATAGGAAACAGCTTTGAATTCACAAATTTCACTATCAGTACTGCATTGTATTGGAGCAGGGTTTCCCCGCCTCGGCACTACTGACATTTGGGGCTGGATCATTCTGTGTTGTTGGGGGGCTGTCCTGTGTACTGTGGAATGTTCAGGGAGTCTCTGGCTTCCACTCCACTAGCTGCCAGTCGCAGTGGCACACCTTCCCCACAGTTGTGACAATCAAAAACGTCTCCAGACACCACCAAATGTCCTCTAGGGGACAAAATCACTCCCAGTTGAGAACTACTATTTTAGAGGATATAGCCAACTTTCTAGTGAGTTGATCTATCCCTAGCTGATTCTACATACCCTTGATGGATATCCTAACATTTTCAACTACTCTAAGGTTTTCTTCCTTTCAGAGTATTCAATAATTAGATAGCACTCATCCCCAGTTTCTTTATCTTAAAGAAATGGATTTAGTATATCTTACTGGAAATCTGAGTCCATTAGTAACTTCATTTGTTGCCTCAAAAATTATATCCAACCAGAAGTTAAGCCGTTCTTGCATGGGTGAGTGTTCGATAAGGGGTTTCTTGAAGCGCTGAATTAATAACAAGTTCTGAACTAATGATCGCAGGTACCTGAAAAATCACAAGCACCAAGAAATTAGATTCCCAAAGAAAATGAATTCAATTCTACTCCCTTTAAAAGAAGTTTCCCAAAAGCTTTATTTACTTAAATTCATATTGTGTAGTGAATGCTTCTTAATCATTTGGCAGCCACATATTTAATTAAAAGAAACCCAAACAGTGGGCAAAATAAGTTTGTCCAACAAAATCATACAACATTGGCTTTTTACCAACGTTGAACTAAACCTCAGTTTTGGTACATGGTGTTCAGAGCGTAGAGACTGGCAAGCATTTGATAACTGTCTTAAGTAACAAGAACAAGTAGTTTGAAATTCAAAGCAATTACAAAATGACAAAATTTCAAACCCACTGTCTTTTTCTTGTTTAATTAAACTTTATATTTTCAGGTAATTGTAGATTTACGTATAGTTGTAAGAAACAATGCAGAGAGATCCCATGTACCCTCAGTCCAGTTTACCTCCATGGTAACATCTTGCAAATTTCTAGAACAATATCACAACCAGGATACTAACATTGATACAGTCAAGATAAAAAAACATTTCCATTGCCACAAGGATCCCTCATGTTTCCCTTCCATAGCCACGCCTACTTCCCTCCCATCCCCATCCCTTCATTGGCCCCTAGCAATCACTGACATGAAACTCATATCTTTTATTTTTAAAAAAATTAGGTCTGACCAGGTAGATTTTGAATTTATGAGGTCTCAAATCTCACCACATCTTTACTGTCTTCAGGCAAATTGAACTTTTGTTTTGTTTTGTTTTGTTTTGTTTTTTGGTGAGAAAGATCAGCCCTGAGCTAACATCCGACGCCAATCCTCCTGTTTTTTTGCTGAGGAAGATTGGCCCTGGGCTAACATCCGTACCCATCCTCCTCTACTTTATATGGGACGCTGCCACAGCATGGCTTGACAAGCAGTGTGTCAGTGCCCGCCCAGGATCCGAACCGGTGAACCCGGGCCGCCAAAGTGGAGCATGTGCACCTAACCGCTGTGCCACCAGGCCGGCCCCAAAATCTAACTTTTTGAAACATAATCACCAGGCAGTGGTGATGACGTCCTCTCTGGTGGTGAACGGCGATGGTTCCGCTGAAAGCACCAGAGTATTATTTTGCCCTTAGAGGATCAAATCTGGAGCTATCTTGGGAAGGTAGATGAGCTAGACTCCGACTGACTTGCTTGCGTACTGTGTAGTAAAGGATTAACTCAGAAGGCCTGGGTTGTCCAAACACTGTATATTCCAAAGAAAGGTCTGGCCCCTGACTGGCTTCTGGGAGATCACCTCTAAGCCCATGGGATATTTTGCCTGATAAGAGTGTCTTTGTTTACCTGGGGCCTTGGGCCATGCCAGAGAGTTTATGTTAACAATATGATTCATGGTAGGGGCCTTGGGCCATCCTGTATCAGTGTGACCTTCAGAGAGGCTGGGGACTCAGTGACTAAGGTCAGCTACATGGGTGCTCCATGCCTACATGACTGACTCCCAATAACAACCCTGGACACCAAGGCTTGGTGAGCTTCCCTGGTTGGCGTTACATTGTGCATGCTGTCACATATCATTGCTGGGAGAATTAAGCACTGTCCATGTGACTCCACTGGGAGAGGACAGTGTCTGTCTCCCCTGGACTCTGCCCTATGTGTCTTTTGCCTTTGCAGATTTTAATCTGTATACTTTTACTGTAATAAACCATAACCACAAGTATAACAGCTTTTCTGAGTTCTGTGAGTTCTTCTAGCGAATCATGAACCTCAGGGTGGTCTTGGACCCATAGCAATAGGTACCAACACTATAAGTCGGTCTAGGTGCTGACGTAATGGGAATGTATTCAAGCCTCGGGTCTCCTTTCCATGGAGTCAGCTCTGTCTGGCTCAGACGCAGCGATGCACCTTAAAATTAGAATTCTGGAAACAGCAGCCACCCTAGGAGGGCTGGAAGCTCAGCCTGCCTCTGTGTTCTCTCAGCCTCAGAAAACTTTCAAGACGTTGATATGGTTTGGGGACCAAATTTAAGTCCTTCAGACTGGGAAGAAATGAGGTCTAACTAGTTATGACTGAAGACATTCCTGCCCCTGGGAGTCCAGACTGGCCCACTGAGCTGGGAAATGAGGGGGCAGATGAACATGGAGTGTTAAAATCTTTAAAATTATGCAACTAATCCAAATGCATTTAAGACAAATCAGAAAATAGAAAAAAGGAAAAAAACAGATTAAAAACTTCTTATAAGGTTACTTCCCTGAGAAAACCACTGCGAATATTTTGAAGAAAATTCATCAGCCATTAATTACACAAATGTCTACTGAGCATCTATTATGAGACTACAGCAATCAATAAGATACTCATAATTCTAATGGAGTTTAATGTCTATCGGGGAAGTCAGCTATTGCCCAATCTTCCCAGACCTTCCTCTGAGTCACACACAAAACACAGATTTTTAATTAAAATGACTCCATACAGAACAGTGGTTCTCAAAGGGTGGTCCCCAGACCAGCAGCATCAGCTTGGAATTTGTAAATGCAAATTCTCAGGCGCTACCCTAGACCTTTTGAACCAGAAATCCTAACGGTGGGCACAGCAATCTGTGTTTTAACCAACACAGGTGATTTTGAAACATGCCCAAGTATGAGAAGGACTGATAAAGAAAAATATACCCTGCAACTGGCTTTTCTTATTCTATGATAAACCATGAACACATTTACACATCTCCAAGTATTCTTTCTTGCACATTTTAATGGCCATACAATGGGCTAACCTAGGGCCACTGCTCTGCCACTGTTTTCTTGACCACATTAGTGGTCTTTTAGTTCCAGTTTTCATTTCTGATGAACATCATTTTTTTGGTGTGCTTTTAGCTTTACTACCTGCTTTCTCACAAACACACAATACGTACTAGTACCAAAGACTGTTTTGCTCTTGAGGACCTAGATGACCTGAAGAAATTAATAGGATTGAGAGCTTCACCTTGGAGATATAGCACGTAGGGATATATGCTGATTGTGTGTGTGTGTGTGTGTGTGTGTGTGTGTCTGTCTGTCTTATTCTCCCTTCACAGAAAACCAGCTGAGCCCTCAGAGCTGTTCTTTCTGCCCCCTCACTTTGCTTTAATGAGGAAGTCAGAAGGAGAAACAGAGCAATTGTTATTGTTTTTTGCATTTACACCTTTTCTCCCTAGGGAAAACATTTCAGAACAAGATCAGATATTGAGATGGGTGATGACAACACACAGATGTGACTCACCAGACTGGAGGTTTCAGTCTGAACAACCTCTCTGCTGCCTGGATGGCCTTCCCAACATCGCTGGCCAACATGCTGACGTTGAAGAACTGACCCACATCCCAGTAATTGTTCATTTTCTCCAAGCTCCCTTTTCTTCCCAACAAACTGTTCAGCCGGACACCTTAAGAATTTGAATTTAAGATCAAGTTATGAAAAATCTTTCTAGTTCCTATCATATTATGCAAGCCTTAAACAGAGGAAAAAGGGGGCATTTTAATTTGGCTACTGTCTCGGGGTGCTATCAGAAAGTAACTGTTCCTTTTGAAATATAATGCTAGTTATTTGAACATAATTTTTAATACTGAACTTGGCTTACCAAAGCATCAACATCTGCAATAATAAACAGCTTTACCTATTTTCCTTAGTTCCATGGAAGTCTCAAACTGTTGTCCAGCAACTAGCAGCAGAACCGCAAGGTTAATTCCGGAATAAAGAGATGACTGGAGCGCAAACCCTTTGCGGTACCTATAATCACAGAACCACCCAAATCTTATTACCTTATTATGGTAGAAGAAAAAAATGCGTAAATAATGGTACAAATCAACCTTCTCATGAAGATTTTTACTAATCTAATTTATCGTTTCCCAGCTCCCCCCACCTTTACAAACAGCTACATGCAGCACTCAAATAGCTTTAAAAAAAGTCTTAATATTATGCAACACAATAACTTACACTAGGAAGTTTCAAACTTTTTCTTCATAAGGTTTATATTTTTATTATAAAAATCATGATCATTGTATAAAATAAGGAAACCATATTAAAGTATTCAAAAGAAATTTAAAACCAATTAGAATCCTTTCCCCAGAAGTAGACCACAATTTGATGTCCAAGTCTCATTTTTAAAGTTAGACTCCATTTGTACATTGAGCTTTTATTACATAGAAATCGCATCAATTACAGGCTATTTCTCTGCAGGCTATTTGTTTGCTCATATGACCAAATGGAATCATTTTTTCATGTATGAAGCAGTATTGCCAGAATCCGGGATCCCAAAGAGCTCTAAGATCAGCGACATACAGTGAGAGAAGAGGCAGGGATCTAATTACATTGGGATAAAGAACAAGATCCAAAACTGAGAATACCATTTTTATACCAAAAGGTTAACAGTGCTATTTTTAATTCCCTTATTTTTTTTTCTATACATAAAAAGTTCCTTTCTCTTCCATGAGCAAGTATGAATGTCACGATTGGGGGAAAAACAATTCAATCAATGACATACTGACACAAAAATGTTTTTAAGTGGCACAGTTCATACCAAGGACTTGTAAACCAAGTGTAATTTTATCACTCATGTGACAACAACAGAATTAAACACCAACAAAATATTAATTGTGGAAGAGAGAACTTACCATTTAAGTCACTTAAAATCTGGTTTTATGAATTTTGGGGCATAATACAAGTACCTTCAGATGGACCAGAAGACACCAAGAAAGTCTTTTCAACCTCAGCCAACAAAATTCCAATAAAATTGAAACCTTTCTCCCCCTATACGTTTCGGGGATTTTAAATTTCATATCCTATTATATTTGACTTTTTTCATTTTCTTTTACTATGAAAAGTTATCTGGGGAGAGAGGAGAGTGGGTAATTTCTCTATGCCTCTTATCCTTAAATCAAACGGGCCCAGCCTGCGGGCAAACAAGACTTGAACTCAAAGTCAGGGTTGCAGTCCCAGGCTTGCCTCTGACCAGCCCTGTAACCCTGGACCAGCCCCTCGCCTCCCTAAGCCACGTTCCACGTCCATACCTAAGGGCCTGGGTTAGACGATCCCCAAGGTCTCACCGGAGCCAAAATGCCTGGACCAGAAGAGGAAGCTTCAGTTGCTCCTGTACCCACTGCCACTACCTTCTGAAGTGGATGGAGAAAGGCTCCTATGAGTTTCTTAAAAGAGCCACAGGCAGTAATTCCCTGACCTGAGGGCTGAATTCTTGGCCACCATGGTGGGAACACAGCTTCCTATTTTGGCTCTACCAGCTGTTAATTTCTCTTCCTCTCCCTTCCCTTCAACACCATGAGTGACTCCTCTCTACCATACTGTGCATTAGGTACTACTTGGGATTAACTAAGAATAAAACAAGGTCCCTGCCCTCCAAGAACCTATACTACAGGAGAAGTGATAAGATGCACACACAATTAGTGAAAATACAGCATGAATAGGAGGATATTTGAGGATAAAGATCCTAAAACCACACAAATCCAAGTCCAGAGGGACTCACAGAAGACATATAGAGCCACCCCTGGAGACTTGAGATATGGTATGAAGATGGATAGAACTGTATAGCAGTGATTTGGAAAGGGAACCCACAGCATAGAAGATGGCAGGTGCAGAGATGGGAGTTTAGGGAGCTCCTAAGGAACTTCAGTTTAGGAGGATATATATCAGGTAGTGGGAAACAGGGCCAGGGGTGGGTTGGAGAAAGTTTGCAGAGCACCTAGAATGGTGATCTAAGGGTTTGATCTTTTATTTAATAGGGAGTGAGGAGCCATGGTGGGTCTTTGAGCTTTAGGAGAAGTAAGCTGTCAATCTATGAAGGACAGACTTCAGAGACACCAAGCAGAAAGCCTACTTGGGATACTGTGAGAACATTCCTGGCAAGAAAGTAAAAACAAAAAAAAATGGCACTGATTGGTGGCGGTAGTGACGGGAAAGGATTGGCAGTGAGAGAAGACTCACAGAAGGGCTGGAATTGGGAACTGCCTGTACAGGGAGATAAGTGAGTGAAAGTTATCAAACATTAACCAACAGTGTATGCCTAGGAGGCTAAAGAATGGTTGTGAGAAGCAAGACATCGGAAGCCATCCCTTGTGGAGAAAAAGAAATGACTTCAGCTTTGGACATGTTGAGTCTTAAATACCAGCCCCATCTTGAGATAGAACAGGTGGGCAAAGAGGGAGCGATGTAGGGCCACATAGGATGGAGTTTGGTATGGAGACCTCCAGCTAAGGGTCCCAAGGTGTGAGAGTGACTAGGATCACCAGGGAAGAGTGTGTGTATGGAGAGAAAATAGTAGAAGACAGAGCCTCCAGCATGTACAGAAGGAAAAGAGAGAGCGAGAGCGAGAGAGAGGCAGCAGTTAGAATTAAATGAGAGTGCAACAGCAATGCCAAGAGCTCTTGTGATGGAAATGGATGATGTGGACTATTGGCTCCGCCTTCAAAATATACCTAGGTTCTGACTTCTCAACATTTTAATCACTACCATCCTGGTTCAACCACCATCAGCTTTCCCCTAAATTACTGCAATACAGGCATACTTTGCCTTATTGAGCTTCACAGAAACAGTGTTTTTTACAAATTGAAGGTCTGTGGCAACCCTGTGTTGAGCAAGTCTATTGGCGCTGAAGGCTCAGATGATAGTTAGCATTTTTTAGCAATAAAGTATTTTTTAATTAAGGTACATACATTGTTTTTTAAAACATAATGCTATTGCACACTTAATAGACTACAGTATAGTATAAACATAACTTTTATATGTACTGGGAAACCAAAAAATTCGTGCGACTCACTTTCTTGCAATATTTGCTTTATTGTGGTGGTCTGGAACTGAACCTGCAATATGTCCAACGTATGCCTGTAGTCTCTTGTTTCCTGCTTCTGCCCTCGTCCCTGTGGTAGACTGTAATGGCCACAAATTCCTCCCATCCCACTATGCACGTGCCTTTGCAACGTGTCTTGGCCACTTCTCCCACCCACAAGTAGAGTCTGTTTCTCCACCCCCTTGAATTTGGACTGGCCATGTGATCTGCTTTGACCAACAGCCTGTGGCAGAACTGACTGCACGTGAATTCCTGAGCCTAAGCCTCAAGAGGCTTTGTGGCTTCCACCTTTGCCCTCTTAGAATGCTGCCCACCCACATAAGAAAGCTGGTCTCCCAGGATTAAAACCACATGGCAGAGAATGGATGTTCTCCACCAACAGCCAGCACCAGCTGCCAAATGTGTGTGAGGCCATCTTTGACCTTCCAGCCCTGCTCACCCTCCAGATGACTATAACTTTATGAGTGAGCCCAGGTGGAACCAGCAGAGGAACTGCCTCACCAATCCACAGAATCATGAGAAATCATAAATCAATGTTGTTTTAAGCCACTAAGTTTTGGGGTTGTTTGTTATGCAGCAATTGATAGCTGATACACCCCCAAAACGTATTCTTTGCGTAACAGTGAGAGGACTCTTGTTAAAACACATGTCAGATCTCGTCACTCCTCTACCCCGAACACTCCAATGTTGTGTCATCTCACTCAGACAGAGTGAAAGGGTCTTCTGCTTTCCCATTTCCTGCCACTCAGCCTTTGCTCATGCCTCACCATCCTTGAGCATGCCCAGAATGTCTGCCCCTTGCCATCCCCTCTTCTTGGAACACTTTCTCCAGTTATCTGCAAGGCTCACTCCCTCACCACCTTCACATCTCTATTTGCCTTCACTGACCACCCTATCTCAAATCGCAGATGACTCCTCCCAAGCCTCCTTTTCTCTCTCCCTAACTTTTCCCCATAGCCCTCACCATCAGCTGACATCCTGAATATTTTACTTTGTTTATCTGCCTTCCCTTACCAGCAATGCGAGGTCCATGAGGGCAGGGATTCACGTCTGCTGTGTCTTTATCCCCATCATCTAAAAAAGTTTCTGGCACACAGTAAACCCTCAATAAACATTTGTTGAATAAAGCAATAAATAAATAAAGGAATGAACAGCTCATTAAGAAAATAATGCCCTGATGGCAGTGGAATAAAGTTCTGGAAGGAGTAGCTAGGAAGGAGTGTGCTGAGCCTCCTTCTTGCCCTTATAAATGAATGAACTTGTGGGAAGAATGTCACCAGTAGAAAACCCTGTTTCTAACGGTTTCCTTTTGGAAAAAGGAATCTGGAAATTCCCAAGCCACATTTACGGCATTTTTTTTCCCTCTGCCAGCACACAGGCAGGCACACCAATGTAGGGAAAAGACCTGGATCCTCAACCTCTGCAATTCTGTTCTTTGCTGCAGACTGGGGCTGAGGACTTACCACTCAATGGCGCTGTCTCGGCTGGCGTCATCTTTGCAATCTGAATCCAAGAAGATGTCCTTGTAGATCCTTCCACACAGGCAGAACATGTCAGGGGCCGGGTGGTCACAGCTCTGCAGAACCTGGAGCATGACCTGCAGAGCCTTCTCACGGTCTCCTACGCTGTTTCTCCTGAAAGAGTCATGTAATAAGATCATGAACGTCTGAATCAAGACACAGGAGTATATATGCATTCATTCTGTGAAGGGTGGGTGTAAGGGTGCTGTGCTTTAGCAGGAAAAAACCTCTAATTTATATTTCTTTTTTCATATTCAAATATAACAACTGCTTAAGATCTACACCGGTAAATCTCATACAGTCATACTCAGTCCCTACTTGATCCCTTCTCTTTAAATTAGACCCAGACTGAGGGTGAAAGCACACACAGATCAACGGAAAGACAGAAAAAGTAAGATGGCAGGCCCCTGCAGCTGGATGGAGTGCAAGGATTTCAGAAGCTAAGCCTGAATCAGGAAGATGAAACACTTTGACAAAAAGTTCTTTTGGAAAAGTGGCAGGGACTCATATTCAGAAAGCCAAAATGAACTAAGAAATGTATCTTGGCATTCCTTGACCTGAAATGCTTTGCCATCCTCAAATGAGAAAGGAGCCTAGTAATTCCTATTTTCCTATCTCATATTATACCCACTGGAACAAGAAATTCAGAAAATTATTTGTATATTCATAAATCAGTCTCCTCTATTATTAGATTATATGATAAAATTTTCATTTTATACACAGAAAATGGATTCCTTAGACAGTTGTTAAAATAATATTTGCCACAAAATAACCTGAGTTTATTGCTGTGAAATATTAAAAGTATTCCTGGGAAGGTTTGGAAGCAAATGTCCATCAGTAGTGGGGACTGATTAAATCAGCTATGGCTAATTATATTCATATTATAATATTAAACATTTATAAAAAGAAATGAAAAAACTTCTATATAATACTGCTATGGAGAGATCTCCAGAATATACTATTAAGACAAAAAAGCAAGGTGTTGAATACCGTGCACCAGAATGCTACCTTTTTATTTAAGAAAAGGGAGGATGTGAATAAATATATGTATATGCTTTTATTTCTTCAAAATGGAATGATAAACCAAAAGGTAATACAGTGGCTTCCAACAGGTGGAGGGAGAAAACATGAGGAAGGGGATAGGCATAGGGGTTACACTTCTTGGAACTTGACTTTGAAGCTACATAACTTTTTTACATAATGATTAAAAAATGAAATAAAATTGTTTTAAAGTGTTCCCTAAAAACACCATTTGCCAATGAATATAACATCTGAATTTGTGGCTGCGGCAAAACAAAACAAATGAACCTGCTGCATCTGGTTGATGGCTTACCCACAAAAGAGAAACTAATTCACATGATTTTAAAACACAGTAATTTGACTGTATTTTCCTAAGAGGATGTAACCTAAGGAAAAAAAATAAATGCAAAGAAATCTTAAGTAGTTTCCAGTAATCATAATGTTAGTGATAATACTGGTACTGGTATTTTGAAAATATTATGTATTTATAGTATAGAATACAACAAATAATGATATTAATATCATTAGGAACCAGATTTTTGAGTATAAGAGACACAAATATAAAAACAAAAGAAGTTAAGTAAAAATCCTATAGTCCTAAATTTGAATTGGAACATCAGTACGAATTCATGAAGTGGTTTCCCCGCTCTGTCCACTGAAAAGGTCCAAAACAATGACCAACTCAGTAGCAATGAGAACCTCCAAGCCCTGACTGGGATCTGTAAATATCACCTCTCACTAAAAGGAAACCAGGACTCCTTGGAGGAATGGCTGATTCCAGATATGTCTAAAATGATCCTGGAACATCTTAACATACAAAGAAGCAAAGAAGTTACTAAGCTCATATCAGAAAGACTCAGGAGCCAACTTGAATCAGTTTTTTGGCTAAAGAAGGGACAATTTGAGCATTAAGAAGAATCAAAACTATAAAGGATTGAAACATCAACTATGTTAAAATGATGAATTCATAATGATCTTATAAAACTTCACTGGGCACTTTTGGAGGATGCTAGGGAACCAAGTCATTGTTCTCGAAAACTGATCAAGGCAAAAATCAAGCATACATCCTCCTTTTCCTATACAAACTGTACACCAGGGTAACCAAGTTGTTGATGAGGGGAAATTTCTCTTTATAAAGTATTTATGCTAATAACTCAGGAAGTAATTATAGAATTCAAATATCACTATTTTACAACCCCTAATGAAATAATGGATCTAAGCAATGATTGTGAAGGGCTGCTAGCATCACAAAAAGAGAAAAACCAGATAAAGTACACAATCAATTATTAAGTATTCTTTCCAAAAAAAAAAAAAAAGTCAAACCAGAATCTGAAATAAGCCTCCAGATCTAACTACCAACTCACAGTGGGAAAAGAGACAGAGGAACTCACTAAACCACACCACAGAGATACAATCAGCAAAATCCAGAATGGTGGAAACTCTATAGGACAAATGCTTCTTCAACAAATAAATAATAAGGGCAAGAAAAAATAAGAGAAAGGTAAACCTATATACCAAAAAAGACTTAAGAGTCATATCAACCAAATGCAATGTACAGACCTTGTCTGGACCATGATTCAAAAAAACCCATTGTAAAAAAAAAAAAAAAAGAGAGAGAGACAATTTGGAAAACTCGAAGACTGATATTAAGGAATTATTGTTAATTTTTAGGTATGAGAATATAATCGTGATTATGTTTTATAAAAGTGTCCTTAACTTTGAGAGACACATACTGAAATATCTATGGATAAAGTGATATGTCTTTGCTTCATAATAAATGCAGTGTTGGGGTTCCAGGAAGTGGGTGGGGGCGAGAGGAAAGCAAAACTGGCCGTGTGATGCTAAGTACTGAAGTGGATAAGCGGTACCTGGGGGTTCATGATGTTATTCCCTACTTTTAAGTAGATTTGAAATTTATATAATAAAAACAAAAAAGGAAAAGGTACCCACCTTGACTCAACAATTCTACTTCTGGAGTCTATAATATAGAAATACTTATATATATATGTATTTAAAAATTTTTGAACAAAGGTGTTTATTATGGCATTGTTCATAATAGTGAAAAACTGGAAATGACTCAAATGTCCATTAACAGAAGAATGCTGAAATATATTTTGTAACAACCAAACTATGGAATATCATGCAATTGTTAGAAAGAGGCAGATCCATATGTAATTATATATAAGAACCTTCATAACATTTCATAGAAAAAGATTGCTGAACTAAAAGAATAGCATGATCCCATTCTTTGCAATAACCACTATTTACTTATACAGTTATGTGCATAGACAAAAGTCTGGAAGGATACACATTAAACTGTTCAAAAAATCATTTCTGGGATTTATACAAGGTGTTCCTGCATATATTTTACTAATAACTATTCTAATAAATGAATAAAGAGATTATTCTTTTTAATTTATTGGCAACGGGCTCTTTTACACTTTCTTTCCTGAGAATCTGTACCTCGAAAAGCTACTGCGTCATCCAAGACAGATTAGTACCTAAAACAGCCTTTCTCAACTGGAGTTCTGTGAGAGAATTAAGCTCTAGAGAAAATTATTTGATTATTTGAATGACTAATTCTCCAAAGGATGGTACAGAGCTAGCCCCATTCTGGATGCATAAGAGAGTTCATTCAGTTGATACAATGGATATCTTAGGGCATTAGGGCCTATTCTCTTGTGGAACCCAACCTGGGTTAAGGGCTAATCTAGACACTTGATGTCCTTGTGGAAGCCTGCAATAATCAAGCCTGTACTTCAACTCTGACTTTTTCCATTTTCTACCTTGGTCTTGTTCTAATATATTCAATCTTTCCTCTCTTCCTCATATGGAATCCAATTTTACCAGCCTGCGAACCAGATCTCTTGATGAATAGCCCACCCATGACATTCTTTAATTTTTAAGAGCCAACAGATACCAACCCAACTCAAATTTACAAAAGTATTTAAATAATTTCTCGAGTCTGTGGCAAGAAAATGAAAAAGATTAAAACTTTAATGAGGAATAAAATTTCTACATCTGTTATGAGCCAACTTTTGAGGTGTGAAATATTCAGGATTCTGAAAAGAACATATTTAACTCTTTTAAATACTTAATTATTGATATGAGTTCAGGTTTGTTTGATTGGGTTTCTTTTTGGACCAATTACATCAAGATTTCTCTTGAATTTTTTCATTAACTTAAAACTTACCCTTGTTACTCAAAACAAAAGGTCTTTTGAGGATAAACAAAACAAAAAATCAAACATTCTCAAAAAATGAAAAGCAAAGCTATTTTCAGCTTAAAAGCCACTTTAAGACAGGTGCTAAATAGCTAATCCTTTTAGTGGTTAATCAGTTTTCAGATCTGCTTAGCATTTTCAGATCCCAAAGTATCCAAGAACAAGCCTATAGATAAAAACTCTTCTGTTTAATCAGTCCAGCAACATCTGTTTCTGATAATAAGGCCATTTCACAATTTAAGAGATGGAAATGAACAAAGACAGTGAGGTCTCAACCTTGGCTGCACATTAAAATCACCTGGGGAGCTTTGAAAACTTGGTGTCCAGGCTGCCCTTCAGACCAATTAAATCGATCTCTGGAGATGGGATCCAGGCATCAGTGTCTCTTATCCTGGACATTCTGATTCAGTAGGTCTGTGTCATTGCTAAAACCGATCAATTCTCAGCCCCTTGTCTTATCTGACCTACGAGCAGCATTTAACAGTTGAGCACTCCTTCCTCCTTGGACCACCTTCCTTATTTGGCTTGCAGGACACCACACCTTCCTGATTTTCCTTCTACTTTCATCTAATTTTCTGGTTCCTATTCATCTCACTGATCTTTTAACACTGGCATGTCCCTAGACACAACCCTTGGACCTTTGCTCTTTATCAGAAGCTACACTAGATCCCTTGGTGATACCATTCAGTGTAATGATTTTTCAAACCATCTAAATTCTGATGACTCCCAAATTTCTATCTCCCGCCAGAGCTCTCCCCTAAACTCCATTCTCACATATCCAACTGCCTTCTTGGCATCTCACTTGCATGTATAATACCTCAAACTTAATGTGTCCAAAACCAAACTCTTGACCATCCCACCAAACCTGTTC